CCCTGTGGAGCAGACCTTCCCCCTGTGCACGCTGCGACACTTCCCCTGGGCCATCGAGCACACGCTGCAGGTAGGGCTGCATAGGCCGGGAGCATCGGGACGGCCCGCGCGGCGGCTGCGGCGCCTGGGAGGGGCGGGGAGCGGAGCGGCCGTTGGAGCCGTTGGGGCTGCGGCGCYGCGCGGGGCGGGCGGGCGGACACTTTTTATTTTTTATTATACATATATATTTTTAAGTGTGTTATGTACCCAAAGCGCCGCTTTTCTCACCAGTCATTCCATTTTGATATTAATACTGTTTGGGATAGGAAAAGTCTCCACTACTAAGTGTTTCTGGTGGTTTTATGCGTTTCCACATGCATATCAGAAAAGAACTGTTTAAAAGACATTGTAATGCAAAGTATGTAGCCTCCATTATATGACGTTCAAGCCACGTGCTGTCAATCTATCTCTGCTTTCCCTATGTTTAATAAAAACCTTATTTGTTTCCTTTATGACCCTGTCAATCACTTTGCATGAAAATTAATGCCTTAGTGGAGATCCAAGTCTGCTTTTCCTGGCAATTAAGGAGAAGTGTCTGTTCCCAGATTTTTGGGAAGGGGTAGTTGGGAAATACAGTTATATGATTAATATAAGGGAATAAGCTATATTAGAGGGGAGACAGATGCAGCCTGTATTAGGCACTGAAATTAGTACTTAAAGGAGCTTATAAACGCTAAGGAGACTGTTCAAACATACTGGTACAATGAGGGTGAATGCACAGAATTCAGTTCCACATTATCACTGAATTGAGTTTGACTTTTCAGTTCTCTGATGGAAAAATAGTTTCTAGGTAGAATGGGAAGTTACTCTGGCTTTCTTGAATAGCTTTCTCCTCTAAGGGTTAGTGTAGCATGGGTGGCTCATCTTGCTCATCTCATGAAAGCTMAGACACAGCTAAGTAGCAAGACTATGAGATAATTCATGTCAGCTTTACTTTTTCTCCACGTAGAGGGTGCCTGAAACATCCCCATCCTTTTTCTCTTTGAAGAAATACTACAGACCTTAGAGAAAACAGCTTCCTTAATCAGGAGCCTTCATAAGTATGTATGGGACAGTGAAGTATTACATCCGGGAAAATCAGCRGGATTCCCTTCTCTGAACTCCCTCTGCAGTCACCTTGCCAGACCATTAACCAGTCCAACGCCACTGCTAAACTCTGCATCTTTGCTTAAAAGGTCTTAGCGGAGCGGTACAGTCCACTGAGTCAGTGTCTCAGCAAGAAACATGCTACCTTCTAAGTATTTGCTTCCAGGATGCCACTAACCTGTTTTAATTGTCTTGTTTTAAGAACTAAGCTGAAGTGTGGGGCATTTTATTTTTCCTTCCACTTCTGTTTTAAGGTTTTTCATTAATAGTTTCCCCCCCCTACTTTTGACCTCTTTTAAACAGCATTTAATTTTACATAGCTCACTGTGCAAATTTTGACCTCCAGTACAGATTAGACTCTGAAACATACAGCCCGAGGAGATGAAACTAGATGAAACTCAGAGGGTTTGTCTTGTACTATTTTTCCTCTGTATTCCTCTATTCACCTCTCGTGATTGACAGAAGATAAGCTCTGTACTTCAGGTTGCCCAGTCCTATCCTATTACATTTGTACTTTCCTCCCATCCTGTGAATCACTTCCATCTCCACATCCCTATTTACTTCAATCTTTTGCATATTAGCAAAAAAAGAAAACCACCCACAACCCCTCCAACTCTCATAACAATTAAAAATAAAAATGTAAGAGCACCACTGAAACTGAAGGGAGTTAACATACCCTGGATGAAGTTTCAAGTGAGSAGAAGTGAGTTATTAAGTTGGGAAAGCAGTGCTTGTATCTCCTCTTATCTATCTGCTTACAGTTATAAAAAAATAGGAGCTGTAGATTTCTCTAGGAAAAAGCAGCTACTTAAATAGAACAAAGACAATTACTCATCTCCTGCAGACTCTATCAAATGTGCATACACCAGAACATTARCATGTTTTCTGCTTTTTAACTTTTTAACTCAGAAAAAAATGAAAACATCTCCAAAGCACTGAAATCAGTCCATTAAATGCAAAATGATCAGATTTAAAAAACATTTTAATTCTTTTTATGTCCATTTCAAAACAAACCAAATATGTTCCATTTATTAAACCAAAAAGAGAGGCAATTGTTTCAGAGATTCAATGCAAAGTTTAACCTGTTGCACTTTACAAAACATGCTTGCCTATTTGATGGCATAAAAAAAAAAATCTTTTCTAAAAAACACCCACCCCCCCAGCCCTTTATTAACCTTCCATGCCAGAAGTGTGCATTTTAGCTACGCTCAGTTACGGACAGTACATTAGTCCATCCAGCAGAAGTACCATATGGACAGGTCTGGTCCGGTAAACTCTACGCTTTCTCATAGTGGCGAACAGCAACCACATCACCAAAAGTGAGAGTCTGCAAGTCCAAGGAAAACAGACATGTTAGATGCCGAACCATTTTCCATATTTAAATAATACTAAGTCATCCATGGTAAGACAAAACATTATGTAATTCATACAAAACCAAGTTGGTCTATATTAGCGATATTCTAAGTGAACATGAGATAAAAATCTCAAAGTTTGGATCCCGTAATAACAACTTTCTCCTTGTTAATTTCAAACTATATAATATGCATTCTAGAAGTCAACTAAAATACGTGAGCATTTAATTTTTCTACTTTTGTGAATGTAATTTCTAAAACATAGCATTTCTGTATGCAGTTTTAACTTACTTTTTCCTCAAAGTTCATCACATTGCTAATTGTTCAATCTAAGATTCAAAGTCTCTGTATTCATATTCTGTACAACAATGCTTAGGCATATACTTAAAGAGAATATCATATTAGAATAAATGCATTTGACTATCAAGTATTTTAGTTATTACAGTTGTGTAAAAGCAACACTACAGTGTATGAACTTTGGAGCTATTTTCTGAGGTGAAACGTTGTATCTCACTGTATTCAAATTCCACAGGGAATGGTTTTCATTGTATTTATATGGCCATTTTCCAAAACAGAACACATTTTTTTCCTTGAATGACCTGACATATTGTGTCGCACTGGCAGTATGCTTTAAGGTTTTAATTATTTGAGCTTCCAAATAATTAAAAACAAAGTTTTTTTTTTTTTTTTTAAATATACAGACCCTCTCCAAAACATTTCAAAAATTAAACTAGCTGTTTTCTCTAACAGTCAAACCACAAGCTAATATGGCAGAAGAGATTTTATTTTTGGAAGTCACATGTCTATGTCAAAAATAAGTATAAGAAATGTCAGTCTGGACATTAGATTTAGCAACTTCTAAGCCATTTTTTTCGATGCCTTCTGCTCCTGAAAAGTGAGGAGGATGTGAATTTAAAACAAGAAGGATTATTCTTAACACAAAACTGTTATTTTGGTCATATTTTTTAAATAAGCTGGAAAGAATAATCCTTCTGCTATTAAATGTGAAAATACTATTACCTCATACCACTTTTATGTTGTCCTAATGAAATAATTACTCTAGATAATTAAATACTATTGACACCTGCACATATAAAGCAAGTCTTCAATCTAAATTAGCACTGATCCAAAATGGATTATTACCTATATAAGCAAGAACTTTACATATTTTGCAGCTCACCAGCATTTTATGTTCTTTTGCTTGGGCATTTACATAAATGCTAGAAAGGATGGATGCCCCCTGGAAATCAATAACCTGGCCTAGCTAAAACCATTAGCATTTTTTTCCAGTTGTCAAAACAAAATGCAAAGCAATGAAAATAAACACTTGAAAAGCCTCTGCCAGCTTCCCTCACCAATCACTTTCCAGTTTTGTTTAAGTAACACTATCCATTCAAAAAGCTGGAGATAAATGCAAAGGAGGAATGTTAGCGGCAYGCACAAGTGCGCAGAGATTTTTATACTCACCATAACCATTTTGCCATCCTTTATTTCTCTAACAAAGTTTGTCTCTTTGCCATCCCATTTCTGTACATGTACTAACTTGTCTCCATCCAGGGTGACTACTGACTGCGAGATATCAAAAAAAAAAAAAAAAAAAAAACAAGACACAAAGACACTCATTTATTTGGAGCATTCGAGATTCTACTCACATATGAAGCGTGCAGTTCTACTGAATTCTCCTCAATGGAGGCATGTGGAGCTGGAATCATAAAGTAGTCCCAAGCTAGTCCTAAGCATTTTAAAACCAAAGCCATGAATCGTCCTTGTTTTCAACAAGAGCTCCATACAGTTCTTGTTTGCATCCAAGGATGAAATGAGCTACCTTCTGCAAGCTCCTGCTCCACATGACCCATCCTCTCCAATGCACATCTGGATAACACTTACTTTAAGCCTCCCCCCAAGGTACAGGGAGAAGACATTCCTTCATTTCCTTGATTTCAGTAGGGGGAAAAAAGTGATGCCAGATGAGCTGTAGATTTAAGTTACTTGGGTACAAAGATAAATGAAGAGCTAAGAGACTTCCTCCACGCTGCAAGGTAGAAAGGGAGCCGTGGACCTAACACACTGCTGCAGACCAGGTGCTGTGCATGGAGGCAGGAAGATACAGCCCTGTAAGTTTTTCCCTGTGCTTGACAGCGCCACAGCAGAGTTACACTCTCCTCCTTTGACCCTGCCATGCTGAGATAAGACCTTCAGGGACAGAGCAGGGGATGAAAGGAAAAGGAAAGGGGAGGACATGGGGGCAGCCTGGCAGCTCACTTACTTTGCAGTTTCTGTCATCTGGGGTAGTTTCATCAAACTCCTCGCCAAGCTTAAAGCCAATTTCTGTGTTTTTGAAAGTGCTCTGAGTCTTGATCGTGACTTTATCCCCCTCGCTGCTGATGATCACAGTGGGTTTGGTCACATTGCCCACCTGCCGGGTAGCAAACCCCACTCCTAAACCAGCAGGGGAAAACAGAAAACCATGAGATACTGTTATATATATATATATATATATATATATATATATATATATATATATATATATAAAAGAAGTAAAAAGAAGTAAAAAAAAGTTTTTTTATATATATATAACTTTTTTTTTTTGTGGTACAGAAGCTTCTTACTTCAACAGACCCCAGCCAAGAGCTGCTTCCCGCTTCGCCCGTCTCCTCACGCCCAGGTTACCCGCCGCCTGCTCGCCGCACCTCTGGTCCCCCCGCACCGCGGCCGCCTCCCGGTGCCCGCACACGGCCCCGGGGCTGCCCCCTCCGCTCCCCCCGGGCGGCCTCGCGGACCCACGGACGGGATGCGGGGCCCCACGCGGGCACCTTCCCCACGCTGCGCCACCCCCGCGACGCTGACAGATGCCTATATAAACATATATATGTATATATATGAGCGTATGCGCAGCAGCGCCAGCCCCGCTGCCCGTACCGAGCGCCTTCATGTACTCATCGAAGTTCTGGCTGTCCACCAGCTTCCACGTGGCGCAGAAAGCGTCCACCATCGCGCCGCGGGCTGCAGGTGCCAGGAGCGCCGCGCCGCCGCCGCTCGCCGCCTCATATAGGCGGGCAGCGGCCCG